GGCGCAGGTGTGCAAGGTGGCGGTGGCGCGCCTCGCCCAGCAGCAGCCGCAGCGACACCGCGCCGTACATCCCCGCCGCGGTCTCCTCCTGCTGCACGCGCATCCGCTCCAGCCAGGTCTCGTGGGCGTCTGCACTCTCACGTGCGTACGCGCGCTGTTGGTGCCGCAGCCATCGCTCCTCCGTGTCGCACTCGTCTGCCACTGTCATGTCGTAAGTGTGCACGAGCTGGCTGAAGGTGTAGCGTGAGCACTCCTCAATCTCTGAGGCGTAGTCCATCTCTAAGTATTCCTCCTGCGGCGATGAGGCGCTGCGTTCATTGTCGTCGTGGTTGCTTTCCACGCAGTGGCCGCAGTTACTGGCGTTTGCATCCCTGCTGTTCCCGAATGGTGACATTTACTGTAGAAATAGAAACGAAAATACTCTCGTGGGGCTGCTACGGGTCAGCGGGAAGCCACTTGGCCTTTATTGTACGAACTCCCCCTAAAAGAGAAAAAAGAAAAGCTAAAGATGTCACGTGCGCTTCTTGATGTGATGGTGTACAGTCTCGTATTCCTTTTTCTCTTTTTTTTTGTGCTGCGTGCGCCTCGGTCCTTAATATGTCCCCTTTCTTTTTCCTCGACTTTGTCTTTTTCTTATTAAGCTGAACGGTGCTGCCGCTCGGCTCGCCTCCAGCGGCCGCCTTCCCTGCCGGATGCGCGGTGGTGGTGGTAGTGCCGCCGCCGCTGCGCTTCCCGCCCCTTCTTTGCGTTCCCCGCCGCACACACGCACCGCCCCGGTCGGCGATGGCAAGCAGCACAGGCGCGAGGGGTGGGAAGTGATGGAGAAAAAAAGGACAGGGATAACTTTATATATATATATATATAAAGCTACCTCCCTGTTGTCTTTTTTTCTTCTTGATCGCGCTTTTTATATTGGCACGGAAAGCAGCCACGGAACCCAAACACAAACACACACACACAAAAGAAAAGAGCTGAAAATAAAAACAAACAAAAAAAGGTTGCACAACCTACTGCACACACACGTGCACGCAGCGGTGAATGAAATAAATGAAAACAAGGATGAAAAGAGAGAGAGAGAAAGAGAGAAAAGGGGGAGGCAGAAGATGAACAGTAGCTGACGTGTGTAGTGGGCAGAGAGAGCAGCAGTAGGAACGAAAACAGTAGAAGCAGCAATGCGAGGCAAACGTCTCTTTCTTTTTTCTTGCATTCGCTCCCTCACCGTCGCGTGCGGTATTCAAAATGAACAGTGGGAACACACAGGGCAAGAGGGGCGCTCCCTCTCTACATGCCACTCCCACCCCAATGCACACACACACACACACATATACAAACAAACAAACAACAACAGCAGCAACACGAACACACCCACGGTATATACGAACAGCAGCATTTGGCGCATTCGCACCCCAGTGTTTGTACTCCTCTCTCTGTGTGTGCATGCATGTGTGCCTTGTCTCCTGTTGTTCCCGAATCAACTCTACAGAGTGAGAAGGCGGAGGTGGAAGGGGCGGATGCCAGCAGCACGCACGCAGCGCACCGTCACTACTCCACATTCACCTCAGCGCATCAGCCGCGGCCCGTCGTCTGTCTCCCGCTCCTTCTGCAGTAACTCATCCTCCTCCGCTGTGATGCGTGAGATGATGATCTGCTCCACCAGCTGGTCGAACGCCTCCTTGAAGTTATCGCTCTGGTAGTCCAGTGAGGTCTCAACGGCGCGGACACCCTTCAGCTGCTTCGGCAGCGGCGGGATCGCATTGTCGCCGACGGCCACATCCGGCATTGAGGAATGGTGCGAGAACACCAGCGAGTGCTTGTCCGACACGCGGATCTTGAAGTTGTTCTTGTCATCGAGCTGGTCCTGGTCCAGCGCGAAGTTCTTGTACCACAACACGAGTTCCTTCTCCGCCCCTTTCACCTCGGGGTTGAAGACGTAGATTATGCCGTCCGCGTTGGCGGCGACGGCTGCCCAGCCCGCCTGGTTTTTGCTGCTGCCGCCGAGGTCCCACAGCTGCACAATGGCCTTCTTCGGTCCCGCGGCGTAGCGGCCGCCGATCCTGAGGTTCTCGAGCCCGATCTCCACCTCAAGGATGCGCAGCGGCCGCGTTTCGTGGTACTCCTTCGTTGGCGTGTCGCGCGCGCCGGCGAGGAAGTTCGTGATGGTCGACTTCCCGCTCTTGGTGGGGCCGAGCACGAGTATCTTTACCTTCTCCTCAGACATGGAACCAATTGCTTCCCTCTATATCTCTCTTCGCGTAGACTTTGCCTCGCTGCGTCTCTGTACGTCGCTATGTTATGTATGTCTGGGTCCGTGTATGCGCGCAAGGACGAATGCCACCCTCCCACTTTCTAAATCGCTACAGAGAATCAGCAGGCCAAAGAGAGACAAGATATGTGACCCACAGCAACAGCGACCGCAGCATTCCACACAGGGTGAGAGGGGGTAAGAATTGTAGTGCGCTTGTATGTACATACTGCAGTTCCACCGTCCATCGGCAGGCGCAGTGACTACGCAAAATGAGACAAAGGGCAAAATAGTGGAGGTCAAAGGCAGCAACTTGAGAGTCACACTCACAGCCAAACAAAAAAGAAAATCGGGTACGCCAACATCATACACACACGCACACACAAAGGGAGAGAGAAAAAACCAGAAACAACCTGGTGCCTCATGTCTCCGCCTGCTGTTGCTCCAACAGACGCGCCAGTAGTGCATTTGTGGTAGGGCTTTCGTCAGCATCAACGTGGCGGAACATTTCGCCTGCAGGCATCGAGGCGTCCCCCCACACAGCGTGGCGTCGCTGTTCGAGGCACTCGACGAGACGGATGCAGCGATCCAAGTTGTGTTGCGAGTGGCCTCCAGCAAAGTTGTTCCAGTGCCGCTGCAGTTCATCCAGGAACGCCAGGTGGTCCTCAGAAGCGCCGGGACGAGTGCCGCGGCGAATAATTGTATGGTGGCGCAAGTACTTCACCGCCTCCTTCACCGGCACGCGCGGCACCTCCTCCACGAGAATCGACGCCTTCTCGGCCTTCAGATCATCCCAAGAGGAAAGTGCCATCCCAAGTGCTGGAGCCCACGCATGGTTGTCCTCTTCAGGCATTTCTTTGAATGCTTGATACAGCAGCTGTTGCTCACTCGCAATGTTGCAGGAAGCGGCAAACGTATAGAAGCTATTCTCCACTGTCTGCCATGACTCCTCCACATCCTCGCAGACAAACTTATTTAGTAGGTGTGCAAAGCAAGTGTCCCATAGGGCACCTGCGTTCTCCACAGTGACAGATACAGTACCAGGGATCATGCGCTCTGGCAACAGAACGCTATAGTGCAATAGCACTGGTGACTCTGCTTGACTCCCCCCGTCATTTTTCGCCGCATCCAGTAGTTGCTGCAGGCGTAGTACCGAATAGGATGGGTACATGGCGTTCAAAATGCATGCAAACTGCACAACTGGAATGATGCCTCTTGGCTCACCTAGGGGACTTCGTTCCGTATCCAAGAAATGACAAATAGATTGAAGTATCATTGTATCCAGTCTCATCATGTGAAAGATATGCTCATGCACTTGTCTTCTCGACACTAATCCAAATGCGTATGTCAACGATCCACAGCAGCCGCTTCGGGAGACCGCATCCAACGCGTACGCGATTTGAATGCGTTGACGGCACGGGATAGCGAGCTCCTTTTCCCCAATTGGCGAGGACGATGGGTTATCCTCCCTCTTATCGGCTGAAAGCTGCAGATACTCACAGGTATAGACGTCCAGCGGTCGCCGTGGTGTCTCACTACCCCACTCTGTCAGTAGCATATGCACCATGCGTTCTGCAACGTGTGGATTCACGCGGAGATACTCGACGTGTGAAGTTGTACGCAGGTGCATAGGAGTCTCGGGGTTGTTGCCGGCCGCCGGAAGCCACAGATGATGCAGCGCGGTACTCTCAGGAATCACACGGGCAATAGAACTAGGAGCCACAACACCGGCAGTTGCACTATTATCGTTAGCCTCATCATGTTCTTCTGTTTGCACTGTTTCTTTACGGTCTGCATCCGCACCAGAATCCGAAGCATCGCGTGTGGTAGAGATCGCTTCATCGGCGCGGTTGGCGAGGCGGAGAAACGTCTCAGCGGCCCTTTCCAGCGGCTGTTCTCGGATGGAGCCCCACCACCTCTGCACGCTGTGGTGTCGGTTCACAAATGCCGCCATCACGACATTGCGGGCGACTTGGAGGTCTCGCCGATGTTTCTCACCACGATGCTGTTCAACGAGAACCTCATTGCGGTGATGCTGACTCTCAATTGCGATGCCGATGTTGTGGTCGGTAAGGATCGACATGCGGGCGGCGAGCTCTACACACTGTTGGGCGTACCTGCCGTTCAGTTCCATGAGGCTTTGGGTGTGGCGGTTGAGGTCCTCCCGCTCCTTGAGCAGTGACTCCACTTCCTGCTGTAGCTCGTCAACGGCCAATTCCTTTTCAGCGCGCGCGATGAGCCGCTTCACGTACAAGGGATCGTGTTGATTGCCCGCAGCAGCCTCAGCGGCCTCCGCAGGCAAGGCGGCTGCGTGCGAGAGCTCGATCTGGTGTTGAAGCAGACGCTCCAGCCTCGCCTCACGTGCCTGATGCGTAGCAATCTCTGCCTTGAGGTGGTCGCGCTGCGTCGCGGACTCCTCCACCAGCTTTGCCATACGCACCTCCGTCATGCGCATACGCTCATGTGCGGTGGCCACCTCCTCGTTCTCGGCAGCGCTCCACACCTGCACATGCCTCTGCGGGTCCGCCTCCCTGCTGGACAGGTCCATGTTCTCATCCAGCAGCTCGTCAATGAACTCAAAAACGAACCCCAGTGTTGTGCGCAGGATGGGTCTGTAAACCCCGGCGTTGGAGGTGAATAACGCGAGCGCAGCGCGCGCAAGCTCAAGTTTGGTCACACGCCGATGCACTGCTGATGCATCAGCGGTCGTCCCGGGCGATATCAATGTGTCCACACGTGCTCCGCGTTGCGCCGCATCGCCGGCCCCTGCATCAGCGCGGGCGGGGCCCCCCTCTTCCTCCAGCCACGGCGGGCACTCCCCTCCAGCCTGCACCATCACATCGCCGACACTCGCGGCGTCGACGGAGGCCATGAAGAGGCTCTTGTGTTTGCTGCTGCGCCGGTCTTGGATCCAGTTGCTTGTGTTCAGCGTCGCACCCAGCCGCTCTACGTCCTCGCCGGCATCCCAGGCCGCTAGCACGTGCTGGAGCTGTTGAAGCAGCGCGGCCATTTTCCCGCTACTTGCTACGATCTTTGCCTCGTCGGAACAAGGAAGACGAAAAGGGCAATTTGTTCGGTTCAGTGAGTTACATGCGCATTTTTTTTTTTTTGGCTGGGAACTG